GCCTTGAGTGGTTGAAGCATTTTGACGCGCATACAAGAGCGCGTCAGGTAGGGGGATACAGGCTACTCATCTTGGACGGCCATGAGAGCCACCTTAACTAGGATTTTAAGGACTATTGCCTGGATAACAAGATCCTTACTCTCTGTATGCCAGCTCACTCGTCACACATCCTCCAGCCGCTTGACGTGGTCTGTTTCTCGCCGTTGAAGCGCAAGTACTCCCAACGCGTCCGGGACTTGGCACGCCGACGCGTCTTCCACATCAACAAGGAAGGCTTCCTTCCAGCCTTTAGAGACGCGTTTCTTGACGTGTTTACAAAGGCTAACTGTCAGAAGGCCTTTGAGGCATCAGGGCTAGTCCCTACCAACGCGCAGGTAGTGTTGGATCGCCTTGAGGTGCGACACTGTACCCTACTAGCACCCCCTCTACTAGAGACACCGTGGCAGTCAAGGACTCCAAGCAATACACACGAGTTTGGGTCTCAGTTAAAGCTTGTACATGGCTCCTTTACTCGGTCACCAGTCACAGCCTAGGCTGGCTTCTCTCAGCTTATTAAAGGTGGTGAATTAATGCTGCAACAAAACGCGCTGCAAGCTGCTCGCATTACTGAGCTTGAAGAGCAATTAGCAGTCATGACTAGGAGAAAGTCGCGCAAGCGAAAGCAAATTCAGCATGGCGGCACACTTGAGTATGGCCCAGCAGCATCACGGGTAGCTGCTGAGGTGTCTGTAGCAGCTCAGCCATCAAAGAAGACTCGTGGTGCAGGTACTCAAGAAAGGACCCAGTTAGCCTAACGGCGCTGTGGAAACTGTGGAGGCACAGGGCACAACGCTCGAACGTGTTAGAAAGATACAGAAGAAGATTCTGAATCTGATAAAAGCACGCAGTACGCTAGATCACTGTTTGATAGCAAGTAATTCAAGTTGCCGCAACATAAGTTGGGTGCGCCAAGAGATTTTGACCGGTTCGGTGATATGACCGGCTCGGTGATAGAGTACGTTAAGTATTGAGAGATAAGATGGATAGAGTACTTGTTGATGAAGCGGGTAACCTAGCTCTCGCTCACTGGCTCCTGGGCGACTGCTGACGCGAAATTGGCAATAATCTCTCTTGTAGGAGGTATATGACAAGCAGTAAGCTCTTATATATATCGTACAAGCTCCTCCTCTTGTTGTAGGGTGAGCTTTTGTTGTGCAAGAACCTTCTCTTTGTGCGGACGCGTCTCACCCCTCCACGTGCGCGTCAACGTTGACCGCACAATACCATGCTTTTCTGCTATTTTAGACCATGGAATAGCATCTTCAGATACAAAAGTATCACACTCTGCAAGCGCTTCTTCTAATCCCATTGCGTTGCGTTGTTGTAGAGCTGAGATAATAGAGCTGTTTTGGTGGTTCGGCGCATCACGCGAATCCGCGCATCACGCGCACGGACACGGTACCGTGGCCGTGCGGCCGATGAGCCAGTTCAGCCGATGAGCCACCCGGAACATCACAACATTGAGATACCCACAACTTCAACGCGTCACAACTCCACCACCATAGATCTAATTCAAGAAGCGATTGAATATTTAGAATTGCATAAAGCTAGAGATAACTTGTCATACCGCCAAGTCGCAAAAATGTTTAGAGTTAACCAAACAACGCTGTCGCGGCAGCACAACTGTTATACACGCTCAAATGCAGAAGAAGCGCGCCAGCGACAGTTACTCAGCCCACAACAGGAGGAGGTACTTGTCAAATACATAGAAAGATGCACAAGAGACGGCTTGCCACCCACTAGAAGCATGCTGCAAAATTTCGCCTCTGCGGTTACAAAGTGGGAGGTCTCTGAGAGCTGGATTACTCGGTTTCTGCATCGCCACGCCAACAAGCTTACCACCAAATGGACCACTAGGATGGATCGTGAGCGCTTTTTAGCTGACAGCAAGCGCAAGTACAAGCTGTACTTTAATCTATTGCACTCCAAGATGCGTGAGCACAGCGTTGATGAGCGCAACACGTACAATATAGATGAGAAAGGCTTCTTTGTCAGCATCAACAGTCACACTAAAAGGATAGTCTCTAAGGCAATTTAGGAGTCAAAAGAGCGCACTGCAGCGCTTAGAGATGGCAACAGAGAATAGGTAACACTGCTGGCTTACGTATGCGCTTCTAGAGAGGCATTACTGCCCACTCTCATCTACTAGGGCACCTCTAGGATTTAATCAACCTAGGTTGACGACCTTGTTGCTAAACAACACCAGATTTTTATCTCCCACTCAGCGACAGGATGGTCAAACAATGACTTGGGGCTTGCCTAGCTTCAGCAGGTGTTCGATCACTATACAGCAGCTAAAGCTCGCCGTCAATGGCGGCTTCTGATCCTTGACGGCCACAGCAGCCACCTCACGCCTGAATTTCTAGAGTATTGCGACGCTAAACGCATCCTCCTTATGGTCTTTCCACCTCATTCAACCCACAGCTTGCAGCCGCTTGATGTTGTCCTCTTTGCGCCGCTTTCAAGGCACTACACTGAGAAGCTCACCCACTACCTCCAAC